CACTCTAATAGGAAACCAGGAAAAAACAGAAAAGAAAAACACGTAAAGTTTGTAGTTTGGCTGTGTGACAGCAGTAAAAGAGTAACGCACAAAAGCCCCTCTGTGCTTCTACAGCCATATGAAAGTCATTTAACACACAGGCTCTGTTTGAACACCAGCCAAACATTGTTGTCTAGAAAGAAAGGCCCAAAACACCCCCACACACACACGCACACACACACACACCCCCACACACACACGCACACCCACACACACCCACACACACACACACACACACACACAGGACTGTGTTAAAGTTCCCACTTCATTTAATTTACAGTCGAAAGCCTTTATGTACAAGTTATTCTCTTCTCTGCTATTAAATCTGATGTTAGCTGTCTGAGTGTTCAGTGTGTCACTCTTTATCTTTATTACAGCTTCTATTCTTTTCAGGAGACTCACTTTCAGTTCCTCAAAGAATCCGCAGACATTCCTCCAAAGTTCAGTCTTAGAAGCTGGTTGATCATTTTCTGATTCTCACCATCCAAATAATCTCAGTTACAAATTTACACTCATCAGCGCATAAAACCGAATGTGTATTCAGTTATAATTCAGTTTCGCAGCTGCTCACTGCCTCTATTATACGTGAGTCAACAACAACCAAAAATGGCATAATTCATGTCTATAATCGGAATTAAGTATCTACTATAAACATTTCAGTATCTACTATATTCCGTTTCTACTATTAATTATTCATTATCTACTAAATTATTCAGCATCTGCTCAATTATTTAGTATCTATTATGAAATATTCAGTATCTACTTTAAATTATTCAGTATCTACTATAAAGTATCTACTCAATTATTCAGTAGCTATTATGATTTATTCAGTATTTACTACGATTTGTTTATTATCCACTATGAATTGTAATTATAATAAAGCTCCTCTTTGTCCTGCCTGTGATGGACTAAGCCCACCTCTATCCACTAACCCTAAAGGTCACGTGACATTTACACGATGATATTTTACAATTATGGTGTAAAATTTCTATTCCGTGTCTGAATGGCTAAATAAACACATTCCACCCATTTATATTTCAAAGGGGATTGGTGATTGGTGGTGTAATAGAAAGACGGGCCAGGAAAAACCTGAGAAAAACTGAGCGTGACAGCAGCTCAGCGGCGGCTAAGAGCTCCACTCACCACAGAACACGTTCAGCTTTCACTGCAACACCAGTCACCCCAGTCTGCGCTCTCAGAAATCCTCCAAATGGGTCGTTCTAGCTTCAGTTAGCTGGAACTGAGCCTGTACCGTGCTGTGGGCCATGTTTGGCCTGCTAACTAAGCTACTGTTAGCCAAACACTACAGTCCCAAACACATTTCATCCTTCTGTCATTCCAGTAGCTATTATGATTTATTCAGTATTTACTATGATTTGTTTATCATCCAGTATGAATTGTACTGTTGCTATGATGAATTATTCAGAGTCGACTATAAATGCTGGTGTATCTGCTCTGAAACGTTAACATATGAGTCGTGTAGTTCAGTGTAAAGTGGAGCTGAAGTGTTTAGGCGGGTTCGGTTGTACAGGTTGTGGTATTTTGCAGCATCCGTATGAAGTTGTGGTTTTGGGTTTGAGGTTATGGAAATGTGGCATGAGGGTTGAGTTTTTCTGTAAAAGTCATGCATTTACTTGGAAACCACCACGATTGTTGCGTTGTTTGCATTGCACTTAAGTTTGATGTATGAAGAAAAGCAGGTCAGGCTGTGGGTGTTTCTGTACGGCTACAAAGGCCTCCTGAGAATCAGGCCCACTGAAACTGCCCCCAGCATCAGTCAGCGGTTGGAGAGGGGGCCAAGACATCTTCACTTTCTCCTCCTGACCTCAATACAAGCAGCACAGCGAGAGAACATCTCGGCGTTAACTGCGATTGAAGGAGAAGTTAGTTATAGAATCTAATTTACACAGTTTCTGCTCTTACGTCAGATGTTGTCAGTAAGATAAGACGTGTTTGGTGTCTGTTCGCTTCTGTAGTTTTCATATCATCCGTATCCGAAATGGTAACATTTTATGTTTCTTAACTTCATGAAAGTTAATGGAACCAGATATTCGGCTTCCAAATGGCTGCGCTGTAGCCATTTAACTGTTCACAGAGAACAGTGTGTTGTTCAGTGTCAGAAACCACAGTAACTCTTTACTACAGGGCAGAGTTCATAGAGCTGCATGACACCTACATGAGGCTTTCATGAGAACTGACACTGACTCACGTTAACAATTACAAACACTTTTTTCTGCATTAGAGAGCTTTGATTTCATGGTGACATTACATCAGTGTCACTGGTGACACTGATTTTTTTGATACATTAGGCTGTATTGACATTTTCTGGGGTGAAATGACACAGACAGTGTAGCGTGCAGTGATATCACGCTAATAATATGATATAAAATGCCCAGCCAGATTGGACAAAAGTGAGTATACAGTTTACAGATCTAACTAAATATATATAAACTGAATAAGCGGTACTGACTTTTGTGATCTGCGTTGTACTTTGTACATATGCAGTAAGACACACACACAATGCATTTAAAATAAACAAGATATCAAATCGTAACTGCATTTTCACAGAGTGTCAATACCTGCAACACTCGCTTCTGTCATGTTAAGGTTCATTTGATCAGATTTAAAATGAAGAAATTCATTTCTAAAGGTATCAGTCAGTAAACAGTGCATTAGACGGGATTTTGGCTGTTTTCATGCATTTTCAAATGGGTTTATAAACACATTTACATACATGTATTTTTGTGTGGTACATTTGTATGTGTAATATTTCTCCATACATGGATTGCAGTGTATTTGAAATGCATTTTGAATATGTAACAATCCATGTGCACGTCTTCTTTTTTCCATTCGGGTTAACGTTGTGGTGCTATGAGACTCTTTCAGCGCTCCATCAGATGGAAAAAGTGAGGTGTTGAAGGTGTGTGAGGATAGTGACGGGCGGTGTTGGGCAGGTTTTGTGTTTAACCATGTAAGAAAAAGCGTCGACACAAGCGAACTGCAGGAAGTGGATGGTTTGGGAGAGGGTGCAGTGAAACAGTGATGCAGGCTGACATTCAGCCTCACTCTGTTTATTCTGAGAGAGAGGGATTGCCGCTCTCAGTTTGGAGGTAATGGAAACACTTTTACAGAGCCCTGAGAGTGTGTGTGTGTGTGTGTGTGTGTGTGTGTGTGTGTGTGGGTGAGTGTGTGTTGTGTGTTCTTGCCATACTGTTCCTCCTAAAACACACATTCCTGAACACACACATGTGGTTTCTATAAATAAGTGGAGGAGTGAAGTCATGCTGGAGTTCTGGCCTGAGGGAAAGGGCGGACGCTGAGAAAAAAAAAACTGTTTTCTGAGCGGGGAATCTCTGTTTGACTTGACAGGGTCCTAATAAAGCTCCTCTTTGTCCTGCCTGTGATGGACGGGCTCAGCAGTGGTCACTTCAGTCCAGCTTTATTACAGCCAACAAAGCCAACCTCTATCCACTAACCCTAAACGTGACATTTACATGATGATATTTCAAAATTATGATGTAAAATTTCTATTCTGTGTCTGAATGGCTAAATAAACACATTCCACCCATTTATATTTTAAAGGGGATTGGTGATTGGTGGTGTAATAGAAAGAGGGGCCAGAAAAAACCTGAGAAAAGCTGAGCGTGACAGCAGCTCAGCGGCGGCTAAGAGCTCCACTCACCACAGAACACGTTCAGCTTTCACTGCAACACCAGTCACCCCAGTCTGCGCTCTCAGAAATCCTCCAAATGGGTCGTTCTAGCTTCAGTTAGCTGGAACTGAGCCTGTACCGTGCTGTGGGCCATGTTTGGCCTGCTAACTAAGCTACTGTTAGCCAAAACACTACAGTCCCAAACACATTTCATCTTTTTCTCACTCCAACAGCACTCACTCCACTTTTACTCTCTCAGACATTCGTTTTTATCTTCTACAGTTGTTTCAGCAGAGCAGCAGTCAGTCAGAATCAGACCTGTGCTCTGCTGTGTGGATGTTTAGCCTGTTAGCTAAGCTTCTGTTAGCATAGCCAAAACACTACAGTCCCCAACACCACAGGACAGGTTGTATTTCAGCTGCAGAATCAAACCTGTACTGTGCTGTGTGGCACTGTTTGGGGTCTATAGCCTGCTTGCTAAGCTAACGTTTGGTTAGCCAAAGCAGGCACCACAGAACAGGTTTCATTTCTCCTCTTAGTCCCTTCAGCACCAGATGCTCGACTTCACTCCCTCAGATTTGAAGCATTATCATCTAAACTTGCGTCAGTGCTTTAGCCTAACCAGCTCCTCTCTCCTATTTAGCAGCACTGTTTAGAATTTAGCAATTGTTAGATTGGTTTGACATTTTTTGAATGATGGCTTGAAAATGGTGCACGGTGTTCGCTTATTTGGTGACTGTGTAAGCAAACTAAACGTTTTGACTATTTAGATTTTAAAATAATGCAGAACAAGCCGACACAAAAACATAGGTGCTTTATCCAAGTTAGAAAAACTAGCTTATGCTGTGTTTTGGATGCTGGTGTGCTGGTCAACCAGCATGTCTATGCTGGGTGGCCAACTAAACCAATGTCTGTAAAATTTCTATTCTGTGCCTGAACGGCTGAATGTCTGAATGTACTTGTAGCACTGAAACGGATGGCGATGTTGTTCTAGTCTAAGTGCTAACGCTACTAGAGGGATTTTTGACTATAGTAGCTGCCTAGCCACACCTCAGGAAATGCTGAAGTGTGGCTGAAGTGTTTGCCTGATGTTTTGGCTACTGTGCGGTAGTTAACGTTACCATGGCTACACCGCTGTCAATCACCGTGTGGTCTGAAACACCCACACAGTCCTGATCTGTTTAAATATTCATTTGGGACTTTCTTTCTCAGATCGGACTTTGGTTCGTGATCAAGTCACACATCTTTAGGATTATTGAGACATGGTTAATATTCGCAGTTGAGTTTGCAGTTGTGTGTGTGTCCTCAGGTGAATGATGGTCAGATAGAAGATCGGAGAAGCTGCAGTGATGTCGTTCTTTGGCCTCGACTGTGTGAAGAAGAAAGAGAAAGGTAACTTACTCACTTCCACAAACACACACTTCTAAACTGAGAACAGAGAGGGGTCCGAATCGTCTTTACAGTGGTGGCGATAGGAACCAGGGGTCGCCATGACTACAACACAAATATAGACATTTTATTTACTATCAAAACCACCAGTGAACCTACACGAGTCTTCTGAGTTTATATGGAATGTTGATGATGGAAAGCAGTGGAAATTCTGAAATAATGAGTTTTCCTTGCCTCAGAACGCCCTGCATGTACCCCTCCACCATAAACGTACTTAAAATAAGTCTTAGGCTAAAAAAAATTTAGGCAGAAATCCTAAAACTATCATAAAACAATGTCTCAGGCAGTGAATTCATAAACATTAAATGTAAAAACTGTCCGTTAGAGAGCTTTTAGAGGTGGACGTCTGGTTCCTATCACCACCACTGTGAACAGTTCTGACTCTGTAAGTTTCTATAGAACAGAGCGTTTCACACCAAACCACTCTGAATGACTCTGTTTACATCTTAACCATTTAATTATGCAGAAATTTGGAAAAAATGGTGGAATTCCCCTTTAAAGTGTTAATAGACATATCACTGTCTGTTACATTGTTGTCACAAAGTCACTGTAGTTTTTAGACGTTTGGCCTGAGGTTGAGATCAACTTTAACCTGATACACTGTGGTTTACACACCTCCAACAGCACGGCTCAAACCACACACACACTCTCACTGCACACACACACACACACCCTTTTCAGTCTCTCCCCAGTTTAAGGTGTGGGTGTTCAGAGGAGTCAGAGCACTGGTTTACGCTGTCTGGTTTCACCTCTTTCTGTTCTGTGTGGCTCCTCAGAGACGGAGCGGAGGATCCGAGCGAACGACAGGGAGTACAACCTCTCCTTCAGATATGCGGTGAGTGTGAAGGACAGACACACTGGATGTCCACACTGTCCTTAAACTCACATTAATAAACAAAACCTCAGTTAAAGCGATAGTTTGAAAGAAAATGCCCCCCATACAATCCTTGAACGGAGTCAGTCAGCCAGGACATGTTTGGTGGGTGAAGTTTGCTTCTTTAGTTTTAGCACTGAAGCTACGAGATATGAGAGGCAGCTAACACGTAATGGAAAAGCAATAGATAACAGAGTGTTACACAGTGTCAGAACCCACAGAATCAGGTCTACTAGTGATACTGCACAACTCCACACACATTGAGAGGAGTGTGCGGTGACTTCGGGCCAAAATATACTTCACACACTATATATATATATACACATACTGTCTCACAAGACATCAACTCCTATATATATATATATATATATATATATATATATATATATATATATATATACACACATTAATTGTCGCTGTCCACGGTAACTTTACAGGAGAGAGCAAAAATGCCATTAGCTTTTAATGTCAGTTAATGTGAAGAGATTTTATTGTAATTGATTTTTGGCCATTTCTGTTGGTCCAATCATCATGAAATGAGATAGCTAGACAGATAGATAGACAGACGTATACAGTGCTATGAGAGTTTTAGGCACCTGAGAAAATTATATTTTAAAAGCTGTTTATTTGGGCATCAGGTTTTTATTCACTAATACTAATATTTACTTATATTTGTAAAAATCCAAATAATAATAATATAATAGTAGTGCTCATGTGTACGTTAGTGTGTTTGTTTAAACATTTCCAAACGTCTCCTCATGGCAGCCCAGTGAAAATCGTAGTTATCATCCAATACCTGCTTTATCTAATCAAGACGTCATTATGTCCAGGAGAAATCTGCAACCAGACTTTGTTCTTCAAACTTTCTCACAAGATATCAACTCCTTTTTTAAAATAAGACCTTTTTGCCTCGCTTTTTACTGTTCGTGTGTTTATTTGTATTTGTTCTAATGATATATGATGTTCTTAGAAGCACAAGCACACTTACTGCAGGGGTAAATGACTTTAAACAGAGAGCTTAGGTGCCTGAATCTGTTCTTCACTTCAGGGAAACATGTAATGCAGCTCACAGTGTTCTACTGTACACGTTTCATCTAGTTCACTTTTAAACTACATCCAAATAACATGCTGGCTGAATCACGAGGCATGACGGGACATGAGTGGATATCATGAATTCAGTTTTGTCTCAGTCTGACGGAAACAGGAATGAAACAGTTATCATGGCTATATTAGTCCCTGCTTTACATTTAAAACCGCTAATCTGGTAAAAATGTGTCAGGAGGACAGAACTGGATTAAACACAATGAAGAATTGGTTATAAATTTACTTGTTTGTTTGTCATGGAAACCAACTTAGATAATGACAGATAGTTTGTCTGTAGTTTTGATAAACCAATAAATCAAATCGCTGCTGTCGGAACAAAACCTCGTCTCTCCATTTTTGTCGTTTTTCAGTTTTTGACATAATTTAAAAATGCCTGTTGCCCTTTACCTTGTGTGTAAATATCATGATGAATGGACCAAAAGAAACTTTTGAGTTTTCAAAAGAGACTTGATGTCACATATATATATAATATGATGTCACACATATATATATATATATATATATATATCACCAATATGTTAATCAAATAAATAGAAATTGTGCTCTATGATAATATTAAGATTGTTCCCTTTGCGTATGGCTGTGTATAGAGAATGAGAGTGAGAGTGGAACAGAGAGAAGGGCAGGCATGTTTAGAAACTCCCTGAAGGTCAGAACTGCTCCTGTTTCGTTTCTGTAACACATGGTATCCAGTGGGCAGCTCAGTAGCTTTGTATTTGAAGTGATATCCATATCACCATAATGCTGCTCTTAGTAATATAATCTGGATATTTTTGTAATAATTTATGTCTGAAAGGGTTAATCAGAGTTCATCAGGGCCTCCTGTGTGCAGATGTTTATCAGTGATTTACAGCTGTGACGGTGGATCGGCTCTGGCTGACCTTTCACTGACTCCGGCGTGTGCAGGACAGCACAGCGCTCTCGGGGTGAAATTGAAAGTGTAGCTTTTATCTCCAAACCATTAGAGAACTGAGGCAGCAGGGGGGGTCATTCTAAACTTCATCAGACCTTAAAGAGGCCAGAATCACAGACAAAATGAATTTTCATGCAAGTTGTATGTAAACTATGTTTCAAAACACACTTTTCACCCCCGACTCTATTCAGTCAGGATATAGCAGGGGTCGTAACTCAAACATTATGAAGAGCCATTTCATCCTTTCAACAGAAATCAGACCACCTTTGAGCCACAACGTTTTATGTCCATTTTACCATCTTGGCTGTAAGTGTGTCTGAGTATGTGCTGATGTGCTACTATAGACTAAAATATATAATATAAACGAAAACACAGACTGACTTTAAACTTTAGCTCAGCTATAGCCGCTTTTCTCACATCTCCAGCAGGAAACTTTTCCTCAAAAGTAGAACAGTTTCTTTACAATGTCTCATTCCAGCTTCTCATTCTCCAGCCTCTTGTTAAAATTTTCCCGTTCCACCTTAAACGAATGTAACTGCTGCACCATTTAAGGTTGAAAATTGGTTGAAAAATGTTAAAATTTAGTGCACAATTTCCATTTATTTGGTGAGTTTAACATGAAAAAAATAAAAGATAAAATATAAAAATGTGACATGACTTTATTTCAGCCCTAGTATGTCAAATTCAGTAAATAACAGGAGTTGTGTATGAAAGTGTGCAGTAGTGTGTCTCTGTAGAGGACGTGTTCACTTATTTACACTTAACTCAACACATTGGTGCACAGTACTCTATATTCCCCTATTCAGTTCCCAGCAGTGTAGCCCCGCCCACTTATACTGAAGTTATAAGAAGTGTTTCAGCCCGGGTTGCTTTTTTGGGTGGGGCACAGCCAATCAGAAAGGAGCTCAATTACATATATATCAGTCTTACAGGTGCAGTAACATAAACAGCCTGTTTAACAGTTAGGGATAAAGAAAGGTTAGAAACGAAAATGAATTATGACAATTTTTGCTACATTGAACCACACATTAAAGTCTGATTGGTTGATTGATTGATTGATTGATTGATTGTCTTTCACTGTAGATTATTTCAGTATTAAGTCGTAATTCAGTGTTAAATATATATATATATTCCAGCCCAAATCCAGTGTTTCCTGTTTTAGTTCCCATAGCAACAGATCCACTTCCCCTCAGTGTGAGCGAGTGATGAAATGCCGTCTTCGTGTCTCTGCACGTGGTTTCCTTCCCTCCACAAATCATTTCATTCCTCTTTACTCCTTACTGAACTTACGGCATTAATAATGAGTCTGAAGCCTGATCATAATGTGCTGCAGTCTAAATAGAACTGACTCTGAGAGCCACAGATTCAGACCTGACCTGTTTACCTGGTTAGTTCATAACTGATCATATTAAACGTGATTTATCGTTTCATATAAAAGTCTAAATTCTTTTAGTGACTTCAGCCCCATCTCTAAAACATCTTCTGAACTTTGATTACATCACCGTGCACCAGTGGGCGGGGCAAAATAATATAACCGATGATATCATGTTTCACCATCTCCCCCTCGCTCAGAGACCCTCCCTGATACCGCGACTCGCTCACTAATACGTCACAGTGCTGAGGGAGAGTGAGCTGATTTCACCCTCACTCTGACTTTAATGCTTCTGACTGTGAGTGATCTGTCCCTGTTTTCTCCTCCGCGCAGACGAACGCCATCAAAACCTCCAAATACAACCTGCTGACCTTCCTGCCCCTCAACCTGTTCGAACAGTTCCAGAGGATCGCCAACGCCTACTTCCTCTGCCTGCTCGTCCTGCAGGTGAGTGAGTTTTAAACAAGGCACAGCCGCACTGCCACTCACTGGCCACTATATTAGAAACACCCACCTTGTGCTTCCCCTCACTGGCCACTTTATTAGAAACACCCCTTGTGCTTCCACTCACTGGCCACTATATTAGAAACACCCACCTTGTGCTACCACTCACTGGCCACTTTATTAGAAACACCTACCTTGTTCTTCCACTAACTGGCCACTTTAATAGAAACACCTACCTTGTGCTTCCACTCACTGGCCACTTTATTAGGAACACCCACCTTGTGCTTCCACTCACTGGCCACTATATTAGAAACACCCACCTTGTGCTTCCACTAACTGGCCACTTTATTAGAAACACCTACCTTGTTCTTCCACTAACTGGCCACTTTATTAGAAACACCTACCTTGTGCTTCCACTAACTGGCCACTTTATTAGAAACACCCACTTTGTGCTTCCACTCACTGGCCACTTTATTAGACACACCCACTTTGTGCTTCCGCTCACTGGCCACTTTATTAGAAACATCTACCTTGTGCTTCCACTCACTGGACACTTTATTAGACACACCCACTTTGTGCTTCCACTCACTGGCCACTATATTAAAAACACGTACTTCGTACTTCCACTCCTTGGCCACCAGTGGTGCACAGTAATGAAGTAAATGTAAGTCGTTGTCTACTTAAGTCTACTTAAGTAGTTTTTTGTGTATCTGTACTGAAGTATTTCCATTTTGGACGACTATTTCCTTTCACTCCACCACAAAGTCAGATATCTCACTTTTTACTCCACTACATTATGAGAAATCTGTGGTTCCTTTTGGTTTCTGTGTGTATGAAAACATAACGTTAAAACGAAAGAAGCAGGAATGCAAAAACACCAATCAGGGCACAGCGCACACTTTGTTTTGAGCTTGTTTTGACCTGTTGGTCATACCGACCCAGTGCAGCACACGGTTCAACATCAGTGCAGCAGCGTAAAATTTTGGGAGTGTCTATTCAACATAAATGATGAACTAACCTAACTTTGTGTAAATAGACCACAATATAGAAATATGTCCTCATATGCAGTCGTGACTGACGTGTCTTTATTCTGAATTTATACAAACAATATTTCATTTTATAGTAAATTAGTTTTGTCTAGTTTATGTTTATGAACAGAGACCTACAGATGCAGTTTAGTAAAGGAAACTCATTTGTGAATCTGAGTTTAAAGTTTATTAAACTTAAACTTGTAACTAAGTTGCAAACAAATCTTAAACCGAAACTTTGCTTGTTTGTAAAAAGTGATTTCAGAGCCACTCAGTTCTACCTGATGGAAACTGTTTGCCTTCAGTGTTTTGTGCTTATGATAATTTTAATAGACATCAGCGTCACTAATTAATGACATTCTATTAAAAGACTGGTTTACCAAGAGAGACACTGGAGTACTTTCACCTAAAACGAGTTACTGAAGCAGAGTCTTCTTTACAAAAATGATAATAGGACATCAGAGCCATAATTAATCTTTTAGTACTTTTACTTTCGATACTTAAGTACATTTGAAGGCAAATACTTTAGTACTTTTACTCAAGTGGAGGTCTAAAGGGAGGAACTTTACTGGAGTAATATTTTACCTTGGGTATCTCTACTTTAACTCAAGTACATGATTTGTGTACTTCGTCCACCACTGCTGGCCACTTTATTAGAAACACCCACCTTGTGCTTTCACGCACTGTCCACTTTATTTGAAACACCTACCTTGTGCTTCCACTCACTGTCCACTTTATTGAAAACATCTACCTTATACTTTTTATCTGAATGGTAGTGGATGTAGAACACAAGCTGCATCTACAGAAGAGCTGAAGTCTCTAACTGTGGATCAGCAAGAGAAGTGTTTCTGATAAAGTGGCCGATGTGTGTGCGGAGTGAGAGCTGTGTGTGTGTGTGTGATCTCAGGGTGGTGTGGAGTGAAGCCGTGTGGTGAAATAGGAAGGTCTCTGTCAGAGATTCTCAGAACAGGAAGTTCTCACAGTGAACTTTTTTTGCGGGTGTCTCTGTATCAGCTAACCGGCTCTGAGGGATTTTAACCTCAGGATCCTGTGACTACAAACTGCTGATCATACACTGCTCAGGCAGCTGATGGTGGTGATGTTTATTTAGTGTCCTGTAATGTTTACTAACTGGACACAAGATTTTCTTTGCCATGTGAGATACGCTACTTATCTGTTTATCATCCAGGAAATTGAGAAACATGAAATCTCGTTCTCGTGTAATTCACTTTTACAGAAAGCATGTGAGCACAATCAGCAATCAGCACTCAGCAGCAGTAATGCCAACCAATCAGCTCTCAGCAGCAGTAATGCCAACCAATCAGCACTCAGCAGCAGTAATGCCAACCAATCAGCGCTCAGCAGCAGTAATGCCAACCAATCAGCACTCAGTAGCAGTAATGCTAATCAAACAGCACTCAGTAGCAGTAACGCTAACCACTCAGCACTCAGTAGAAGTAATGCTAACCAATCAGCGCTCAGTAGCAGTAATGCTAACCACTCAGCACTCAGTAGACGTAATGCTAACCAATCAGCGCTCAGTAGCAGTAATGCTAACCACTCAGCACTCAGTAGCAGTAATGCTAATCAAACTGCACTCAGTAGCAGTAATGCTAACAATCAGCACTTTATTGGTGTAGCTTGAGGCAATATAATGTCATGTTCTTTGCTTTTGCTGTAACACTGGAATATATAGCAGTAGAATAAAGAAAAAATGTCAGCAAATCTCTTAGTAACCTTAGTCGTGCTGCAGTAGCTAGCAGTGTAGGCTACAACACTGAACTAGCTAACTAGCCATGCTAAAACAACTGAATCTGGTGAACTTTCTGCTTAGATACACAAACTTACACAACACAAACATTCATATAGAGTGATTTTCACATACATATAAAATAAGCATGATTTGGAATGAATAACCGACTCTAAATGTAGGTATTGTGATATAAACCGAGTCTGTTCTAGAGTTTCTCATTAGGTTGACTGGGATTATGTGTGTTTGTGTGTATTGTACTGTATGTTAGATTATATATTGTGTATTATATTGTATGTTTAATTGTTGTTTTGGTGAATGTGCTGTAGGTGATTCCTGCGATCTCCTCACTGTCCTGGTTCACTACTGTCGTTCCTCTGGCCCTTGTACTGACGGTCACTGCGGTCAAAGATGCTATCGATGATATAGTGAGTACAAACACAAACACACACATATATACATATACATAGGAATGTTTATTATGATTAATTCTGGTATTCGAGTATCAGAATGAATCATAATTATATCTTTCCCCACATGCTGGCGCATGCTAACTCAATCAGGAATCAGCAGATGCTTTCATTGTTTTGGCTGCAGTAAGTAAGAACAGGAGCTACTGCTTTGTTTCATAGTAGCAAAGTATAATATGTATGTAATAATGTAATACTCAGTTACAACAAAGTCAGTGTCCACATCACCTTTTTAATCTCATGCAGCGTCAGAACAATCCTTCCATTTCCAAAATGCAGAAGGAAACGCCTGCTTTTGTTTGGAAAATGACAGTGTATATACACATACACACATACAGTACTGTGCAAAAATCAGAGAACACCCTTCATTTATTTAATTTTCCGTCAAAACTGGACATTAAGTACAAGTTACTCATTTTTCAGGAGATATTTGTGAAGAGATTAGATATAACATGCATAAGGAAGGAGAAAGTTAAAGAAAAATAAGGACCGATTCACACAGACTGCTTCTGCGTGGCGTGAGCGATGCTGAAAGTCTTGCTTTTCATTACGGTGCCCGTGTTAACTGGTCAGCACTTTCACACCAGCTGCATGTGCGAAGCGGCAGAGCATCCCAGACACCGCACTGAAGCGGCGTGGTGTTTAGAGAATAGACCGTGTGTAATTTTTTGCGCATGTCGCACAGCAGATTATACTAAAATAATCCATGAAAACCATGAAAATTAAAAAGAAAACTGTATACAAACTTAAAGAACTACTTTTTAAATTCTAATTCAATTCATGACGAAATACTAGTTAAACATTCTGTGCTGCAAACCGATTCCCGGTTGGTCCACCAGGCCTGACACTTTTGCCTAATCACAAGTCAGAATGCTGTTGAGGATAAACAAATATACTGTGTACTTTCATAAATTATATTTCTATTGAGCAGAGTGACTGATGTGACCATTTATCTGTCTGGTAAAAAAAATGTCTGTATCCGCTCTGCAGCACAAACATTGTATGTATGAAAGGTCAGTGTGTTCGAGCTGTAGCGCTCACACTGCCACGTAGCTCACGCCACGCAGAGGCAGCATGTATGAGTCAAAACAAAACAAAACAGGACTTTGTTTAAAAGCTACAGATAAAATCAGACCCTAGCAACCACCTGGAAGAGCTGGTAGACACCAAAACTGCCCCCATCAGATAAACAGCACTTAAAGCTTTCATCTGTGAGAGAGAGGAGAAAATCAAGCTGCTTCAGATCTGAAAACATCCACAGGTGTTTCTGTGAGAAGACAATTTGAACACCGAAACTGATGAGTCAAAATTTGTCTAAACCTGTTTGTCAGAAAAAAAAATCAGAAAATGATCAACCAGCTTCTTAGACTGAACTTTGGAGGCGTGTCTGCAGATTCTTTGAGGAACTGAAAGAATGGAGGCTGGAATAAAGGAAAAGTGTGACTCACTGACTGAACACAGCTGAGAGTCGATTTAGCTGTTGTGTTATTTTCTGGTAAACACTGAAAAATACAGAACTTGTACTTAATGGCTCTTTTGACCGGAAATTAAATGAATGATAACTTTTCACAGTACTACACACACATAAACGCACAAGCCTCAGTATATGATCACATGTGTGAATTACACCTAAACCGCCATATTTATCTAGACCATAGATCATTTCCTGTCAGTGAGGGAGCACATTTTCTCCCCCTCCCTCACCTGTGCATTGTGGCTGTACTGAGACAGGAAGAGAATTAAAATAGCCGTGTTCTGTTATTCACGGACATAAACAACGTACCACTGAAAATGATCAGCTCTGTAGAGAATAGAAGGCAGCTGTGCGTCTAACAGTGTTACTTATCTTCATCTGAACTGAATTCGTGGCTCTCAGCCTCATCCATGACTAAACGAGGCTTATACTGCTAAGAAGTAATAGAAGCTTATACCCCGCCAATTAGCATGGCGCTAACTGCATGCCTAAATAAATTACACACTTGTCTCAAACCGTGTGGAGTTGTTCAGTATCTCTAATAGACCTAATTATGTGGTTCCTTACCCTGCAGTGACACACTGTTATCTATAAACATGGACTGAAGTGCATTAGCTGAGCTAAAAGCAGTAGCAGTCTTCTTGAAGCCTAAGTTTGATTTTTCACTGAACTGCAGGTTTTCTTCTCTAGCTCGTATGTAACTCTGCTGGTCTCCTACGGTACGTTTATGCTCTCGACTTTGACTCTTTCCTTGCAGAATCGGCACAAGAGTGACCGGCAAGTCAACAACCGCAAGGCCCAAGTGCTCATCAACGGAGAGTGAGTTTTTATCACCATCAGCACAGCCATCATCGCTGTTATGATTATTATCCTCATTTTAGTCATCATCGACATCATCACCTACATCATACCTCATAATCCTCCTCTCATCGCCATCATGAGTCTCATTATCATCACTATTGTCAGTTTCTTTTCCATCTTCTCTATTGTTACAGTACAATAACTATAATCACCATCACTGTCCTCATTACTCTCGTTGCCACCATCACTATCATTACCATTGTCACTATGGCCTCTATCAATATCATCATCTCTCATCATCACCATGATCACCATATTCACCATCACGTAACCATCATGACCATCTTCACTATTATCATCGGTGTCACTATCCCATTCATCAGCATCACATCACCATAATCAAGCTATCACTATAATAACTATAATAATAATCACTACAATCACTATTATCACTGTTTCATCACTATATTCACTATAATCACTATGTGCATTCTCTCTCCAAACAAACTCACCATCATTGCCACAATCACTGCCATCAATATTGTTACTGTAATCACCATTATCACTATAATCATTATAATCACCATAATTAGTATTGCCATAATTACAGTCATCACCATTGTTACTATGGTCATCACTTTCATAAGCATCTTCATTACAATCACCATCACATAAACATCATCACTATCATTATCACTGTCAGTATCACCACCATGAATATTATTATCTCTCATCATAACATTGTGATGGTGATTATGATCACCATCATATTACAATCACATAACCATCATGACCTTTGCAGTCATCGCCATCACATCACTATAATCGGTTATTACTATAATCACTATAATAATCATCAGTATAATCAGTGTTGCCATCATTACCACCATCACTGTCATCACCATTTGTACTACAATCACCATCACCACTATAATCACTACATCACTTTCCTCACTACAAACACATTTGCCATCATTGCCACCATTACTGTCATCGCTATTGTTACTATAATCAATATTATCACTATAGCCATCACTATAATCACGAATACCATTATCACAATGTTACTATGTAATCGTTACCATGTTACTATGCTGCTATGATCACATCTTCAGTACATGACATACTGACACAAGGCTGCAGGGTGCTTTATTCAGTCTGCCCAAGCATGGAAATGATGGACATGCAACACGGGATAACGTTAAAACAGCTAGATGTCGTTTACTGCACTAAAGAAATGACCAAACCACCAAATTTCATAAACACGGGTCTCAAAACACGTCGATGAATATCTGAGTGTCATTAGTATCACGCAGATAAACAGTGTTCATATTATTTAGTAGATCAAGTGGAGCTCTATATGATACAACTAACAGTTTTTCTGTTTTAAAGTTTTTGTCATTTTTTTAACCCTAATTCTCATTACTGTGAACACGTGTGTTTCTCACTTCCGAATTTTTTAATCAGAAAAAAAAAAATTATTTGTATTACTGTTACCTGTGTTCTTGTAAATTGTGGATGTGAACTGAAACAACAAAATGTTTGGAGACATAAATGAGAAAAACCTCCGTGGTTCTTCAGTCTGTTGTGGTAATGAGACAAGTGCACATATATTTTAATAATTCATTTTAAAAATAGTTTACAGGTTGTGAAAAGAAAAGCTGTGTTTTTAAAGCTTGCTGTGTTGTGGTAACAAAGTAAATTGGTTACTTGGTTTACGGGAAATGAAAAAAAAAAGTTTTACAATCAATTATTTGTATACCAAAAATACGTTTCGTGAGAAACTCATCCCTCACTCTCTCGATCTGACTATATATATCTCTCTATCTCTCTTTCTCTTCCTCTTTATCTCTCTCCATCTCTCAGGCTCAGAAGTGAGAAATGGATGAACGTTCAAGTCGGTGACATCATCAGGCTGGAGAACAACCAGTTTGTGACAGTGAGTTTATTTCTGCCCGGCACTGGAGCTGTGAGGCTGATGTAGCTGATATGTAATGGCTTATACCCGACCAGTCAGCATGGTGCTAGCTGCATAGCTGAATCATCAATCACTCAAACAAGACAAGAAGCTCTTATCTGTACAACGGACAAAAGTACGTACAGAATTCAGTCTTCCAGGTGGCTGCTACTGTCGTTAGCTATGCTGATGTACTTTAGTCCATGTTTATGGATAACATAACACAGTGTTTCACACAGAAACCACATAATCAAGTGTTTCAGAGATACTGAGCTCAGCACGGTTTGAGGCCAGAGTGAGATGATTTCGACATGCAGTTAGCATCGCGCTAATCGGTGGGGTATCAGCGTCCACTGCTTGTGGAGGAGTAAACTGATCATAGATTTCCTGAAATGTGCAGAATCGCAAAACAGGAAATAAGTATATCTTACTAGTGAATCACATGAGCAGTAAACAAACAAATTCTCTCTCTCTCCCTCTCTCTCTCTCTCTCTCTCTCTCTCTCTCTCTCTTTCAGGCAGATCTGTTGCTCTTATCAAGCAGTGAGCCTCTGAATCTGGTGTACATTGAGACCGCTGAGCTGGATGGGTGAGTGGAAGTGTGAGAGAGTGAGTTAGAGAGTGAGAGAGTGAGTGAGAGAGTGAGTGAGAGAGTTTGAACATACAGACAGCGGTAAATAAAGAAAAGAATAAAAGTAAAGCTGTATGTCTGAATGTTCTCAGGGAGACTAATCTGAAGGTGAAGCAGGCTCTGACTGTAACAGGAGAGATGGGGGGAAGCATCGAGGCCCTGGCTGCTTTCAAAGGTGAGAGACAGAGAGAGAGTGAGTGAGAGAGAGAGAGAGGGAGAGAGAGAGAGAGAGAGGGGGGGGGGAGAAGTATACTTATGATTTCATGTGAGAAGCACTGTGATCAAATCTCAGGGCAGATAAGTAGAGAAGAAATGACTCTGACTTGATAATCACTACATACTATATTTATAGTAAAGCTAAAATCTGATCTGATATTCTGTGGCCACTTAACAGCGATTCAAATCTGAATTACGCGCTAACTCAGCAGAACCCACTGTGCTGTTAATGGACTGTTATGCTTCTCGCAGCGCCGTAACAGAAAGAACAGCATATCTCAGCCTGGCTCAGCACCTGTAAAACCTGCATATGCTGTGTTTTGGTTGTGGGTATGCTGGCCTGCTGGTTTTGGCTTTTTAATAGGTTGGTATCACAGTGTAAAGGATCCTAATGGTTTAAAAGGTGACCAATAAGAAAGGATAGCTAACAAACTAAAGGATAGTTAACAGGCTAAAAGAGAGATAACAGTTAAAAGGATAGTTAACAGGCTAAAAGATAGCTAACAGTTTAAAGGATAGTTACCAGGCTAAAAGATAGCTAACAGACTAAAGGATACTTAACAGGCTAAAAGATAGCTAACAGACTAAAGGATCATTAACAGGCTAAAAGATAGCTAACAGACTAAAGGATAGTTAACAGGCTAAAAGATAGCTAACAGACTAAAGGATACTTAACAGGCTAAAAGATAGCTAACAGACTAAAGGATCATTAACAGGCTAAAAGATAGCTAACAGACTAAAGGATAGTTAACAGGCTAAAAGATAGCTAACAGACTAAAGGATAGCTAACAGGTTAAAAGATAGCTAACAGTTTAAAGGATAGCTAACAAGATTCACTAAAACTGTAATATAAAATAATAATAATATAAAAAATCTAAATTATAAATCTAAATGTAATATAAATAAGAATTGTAGGGCAGGGTAACCAGATGTCCTTTAAGAAGTTTAAGAAGCTGCCTGTTCTCTCTCTCTGCTACGCACTGTGATGCTAGCTTTACCACATGGTCCTTCACCTTCTACTTACTATACTTTACTCCAAGTGTAGCCACCGTGCTTTAGAGCCTCAGCTAGCTTCAGTGTGGCGCGCGGTGAGAGTTAACACCAGCCTGGAGAGAAAGACTACAGTAGAGTTAATCTCCCACCGTCTCCGCTGCGTTTGACTCACTGAGAACAAAGTACAGTATGTTCTGTACAGCTGTGTCCCGGCGGGTAGTTGAGTTATAAAACTCCACTGTAATGACGGAAAACACCTGTTTTTAAATATGTACGGTGTGTGGAACATGGCTTTGGAGAGCGCTCGCGGTCTGAAGAGCTAATTCACACACAAATCGCTATGAATCTGCACCAGAAGTGCATGAACACACCTGTGTACAGTAACGTTTATCATAACAACAGATGAAGCAGTTTTCAGAAGATGTTGGGTTACTCAGAATTATGTCATTTCATATGTGGTTGTATTAAAGATTCTCTCTCTCTCTCTCTGTAGGGGAGGTCTGCTGTGAAGCTCCTAATAACCGTCTGGACCGGTTTACGGGCACTCTGGTGTGGAAGGAGCAGAAGTATCCTCTGGATAATCAGAGCGTGCTGCTGAGGGGCTGCACTCTCCGGAACACTGACTGGTGCTTCGGCATGGTGCTGTTCGCAGGTCAGATTATATCTGCTCTGTAATGACAGACACAGCGGTCTGTGTTCCAGTGATGTAGACGGAGACAGATGTTTTGTAGACCTATGGAAAAAGTGGGCAGGACAACATGGTAGATACAGTTTCCAAACACAGTAACGTCCCGCAGTGTCAGTCTGTAGTTTGTTCCTGCCAGCCGTCAGTCATCACCCCGCGTATTCTAACACTTCCGCCCTGGTTCAGAACAATAGCAACCAACCGGAATACTGGATCCACGTAATCCGACACGCTCCACGCGACTGAATCTCACTGCTGAACGTCCCCACTCACATCTTTTAACAGCAACAGCAGCTTCAAATTCAAACACTGACATAGGCTGAAGGCTTGAGGTGGATAGCAGCGGTTGCTAAGCATTGATTGGTGGGCTGAGGAAAATAAGGCGGAGCTTGACGGAGAGCGTAATAATTTGATTGGCCGTATCACAACGACAGCAGCCACAGGAAACGAATCAAATGTCATTTTCAAAGTTCAGCTCAATGAATGTTTTTCTTCACAGGTCCTGATACCAAGCTGATGCAGAATTGTGGGAAATCGAGTTTTAAGAGGACCAGCATCGACCGCCTGATGAACGTCCTCGTGCTCTTCGTGAGTTTGAGAGACCCGGTGCAGTTCAGATATGTGTACAGCGGAAAGCCTAGCAGTTTAAATAAATATAGAAATATTAATAAATTAGCATATTCACTTTGTCAGTTTGCAATTGTTAAATATGAAGGTTGTTATGAAATCGTATGGATGTTGGTGATAATAACATAATAATAGTAGTAAAAAAGCTATGCACTGTATGCAGTGTGGAGCTGCTAAGTGACTTTTCAAAATATAGAATTGGACTGTTTTTTAGTTATTGTTACAAATATTTAGTGTGATATTTATAATGACATTGTCTTCTTTAAAATAAACATGATTAGCAATTAATATGTTATTATAAACTGACAAAGAAGACATGCTACGTTGTTTACTACTACTACTACTACTATTATTATTATTATTATTATTATTATTAAAACACTACGTTTTTGTTATTTTCTGTGTGTAAATTTAAATCATAAATATAACTCTTGGTCTTGTTTTCTCTCCTCTGCAGATTTTTGGGTTTTTGGTGTTGATGTGTATTGTCCTGGCTGTGGGCCATGGCATCTGGGAGTACTATGAAGGGTCAAAGGTCACGGGCTTCGTCCCGAGGGAGGAGACCACGGGCCCGGCATTTTCTGCCTTCCTCACGTTCTGGTCCTACATCATCATCCTCAACACTGTGGTGCCCATATCGCTCTATGTCAGGTAGTGAAAATGACTGTATAGTGACTTTGTGTCGTTTTACTTTAACTTATTTGTATTTATTTTTACTTGTTTAGTTTTTGGTTTCAGTAGTGACAACAACTCATTTTCAGCAGAACTCAAAAACGCTAACCAGTACATGACTAGCAAACACAGCTTTGAACAGCTGTTCACACAGAAAACCATCATATTTTTCATTAAAACAAAATCTGTTCTTCAGTAGTGACAGTTCTTAATGTTCCACACTGACTTTCTTAGTCTTTGGGGCTCATTTACTTCAAAACAATGGGATCTAACTGCTCACCATGTGGTCGTGAGGGACAGGGATGCAGCCTCACTTCCTGGTCTAACAGGCAGGGGCGTGGCTAAATTAAGGCTCCGCCTACTGACTAAAACTCGGTAGTGACATGAAAACATGGGACAGAAAAAATTTTAACTCGTAGTAAATCTTTAGTAGAAGTCTTTCAACTTCACTTTAAAATTTTTTTGAAAAAAAAAAAACGCATTACTATTTTTTCACAGAGTGAAATTTAGCGGTTCGGGTTTGGGACAGACACGTTATCATAGAAAGAACCCAAGAAATGATGATTGACTGTATATGTGATTGTGGCATGCGCATGCCATAGTGATGTATATTATTTATGATTTCCACTCTCTGGTTGAGCCGTTATATACGTGTGTGTGTTTGTGTTTCAGTATGGAGGTGATCCGGTTAGGAAACAGTTACTACATTAACTGGGACAGGCTGATGTATTATAGCCGCAGCGACACTCCGGCTGAAGCTCGGACCACCACTCTGAACGAGGAGCTGGGACAGATCCGTTACATCTTCTCTGATAAAACCGGCACTCTCACACAGAACATCATGACCTTCAACAAGTGCTCCATCAACGGGAAAACCTACGGTAGAAAATATAGATCCACATACAGACCCTTCCAGTTTACAGTGAAAGATATTTGAAATGAAACGTTCTGAGTGGAGTACATACATTTCTTCTGTTTTGTTGTGTAGGAGACGTGATTGACCACTACTCAGGACAGAGATTGGAGATTTCAGAGGTAAGGAGACGGTGTGAACCTGAAGGGCTGGTAAAGTCGGTAGTCCTTTGACACAATACACCACGATATCTTATTAGTTAAGCCTTAAAATTTTGTTAGCATCAGTTTTTAGTGGACTGGATCTTGCCTGGATTAAGTCCTATTTGACCAAATGTTGCCAGTTTATCTGAGGAATTAATGATTGTTGTGAACGTACAAAGAATAAGTATGGTGTTCTTCAGGGCTCCATTCTAGGGCCTCTTATGTTTGCAGTTTATATGCTTACATGCTCAATTTATATCTCTGATAGGTCTCATCCACAAACATGGATGCCCACTTGTTGTGCTGATCATTTTTGTTTCCAGAGTTTAATTTATTCCTTAATTAATTTGTTTTTGCTAAACTACTGCTGTAACGTGTGTGTTCATATAAGATGTTTTGTATGTGTGTGTTTGTAGGACACGGTTCCGGTGGATTTCTCCTTCAACTCTCTGGCCGACTCTAAGTTCCAGTTCTATGACAGCAGTCTGCTGGAGGCTGTGAAGCTGGAGACAGTGGAAGTTCACAACTTCTTCAGACTGCTGGCGCTCTGCCACACCGTCATGGCCGAGGAAAAAAACAACGGTCAGTGTTTGTGTTAGCTCTGCCCTTTCACCTCTGTCACACACACACTGGAGTCTGTAAAGCAAACTCAAATTACATGAGGGGCCCTTTCTGAGTAATATGAAGTATGAATTTTAAAAACATAATAAATACACTCATATAAGCACATCTTATTCAATGTTAATCAGCAAAATGTTATTATTATTATTATTATTATTATTATTAGTAGTAGTAGTAGTAGTAGTACATTGTTTGAATTAGCGTTCAGTGAAATAAAGTAAACTTACATTTAATGGTAAAATTATATGGGACTCGGATTTGTTGGTTTATTTGTTTGGGCAACCAGCCACAGTGCCTGATGGGAGAAGGAGATTTAAATATTTAGCTGCAGAAGGATGTAAATATCTCTCTCTCTCTGTCTCTTTCTCGCTCTGTCTCACTCCCTCTCTCTGTCTGCAGATCTGGTGTATCAGGCTCAGTCTCCAGATGAGGGCGCTCTGGTGACGGCGGCGCGTAACTTTGGTTTTGTTTTCCGCTCGCGGACTCCGGAGAGTCTGACTATTGTAGAGATGGGCGTCCAGCGCAGCTACGAGCTGCTGGCCATCCTCGACTTCAACAACGTACGAAAGAGAATGTCTGTCATTGGTATGGATGGGCTTCCTTCCTTTGGATTAAACTTACAGCCAAAATTCAGCAAAATGACACATTTACATGACTTTTTTTTTACCTCGTAGCCCCAAATGTCGTCGATCAGCCGAGTCAGGTTTGGTGTTTGAAGTTTGATTCTTTAGTTTTAGCACTGGAGCTACGATTATGTGATTACGTGGTTTCTGACACTCTATGACACACTGGTATCTGTAAATGTGGACTGAAGCACATTAGCATATCTGAATGCTGAGCTGGCGTTTTTATTACGTTAGCTACATCAGCCTCATAGCACTAGTGCTAAAACTAAAGATGCAAATTTCAGACAACAAACATGTCTTAGGAGAAATTTCTATTTTTCACCAAAACATCATTTGAAACACTTTCATCACATATTAAAGTAGGTGTGTGTGAGTGTGTGTGCATTGTTTTGGAAGTGAACTGGCTCATGATTGTGCTTGGTGGGTTACATGTAGTATAATCTCTGTTCTTCTCTCTCTCTCAGTGCGTTCTCCTGAAGGAACTCTATCTCTGTACTGTAAAGGAGCAGACACTATCGTCTATCAGAGGCTGCATCAGTCCTGCGGTAAACTGAAGGAGGTCACAACAGAGCACCTTAACGTGAGTGACCACCAGAGGGAGCTCTATGTGTACTCTATACTTATAGTGCACTCACTTTATTAGAAACACTTACCTTGTAGGACCACTCACTGGCCACTTTATTAGAAACACCTCCCTTGTGCTTCCACTCACTGACCACCTTATTGGAAACACCTACCTTGTGCTTCCACTAACTGGCCACTTTATTAGAAACACATACTTTATTTGTCCACTCACTGGCCACTTTATTAGAAACACCTACCCTGTAGGACCACTATGTAGGTGTGCAGTTACAGACTGTAGCTCACCTGTTGCTGTTTGTGTGCAGGAGTTTGCTGGTGAAGGATTGCGGACTCTGGTTCTAGCCTATAAGGATCTGGATGAAGATTATTTCTCAGAATGGCTGCAGCGCCACCATGAGGCCAACACTGCACTGGAGGGACGAGAGGACAAACTCAACGCGCTTTATGAGGAGATCGAGAAAGACCTGCTGGTACACATACTTACATACACACAGGTTAAAGCTAGAACCAAAATGTAGGTTTCATTAAAATGTTAATTCAAAGTAATTTAGAGTATCTGTTTGATTATATCTTCATTTTAATGCACTATAAACTGTTCATTTTGTAAAGGATGAACAAACCTGTGAGATAATATTGCAGTCAGTTATGTAATATTTGCTAATGTTAATCGCAGCTTCAGCTATAGAGGATAAACTATAATGTTTGTCAATGTTTAGCTAATCGGAGCTTCAGCTATAGAGGACAAGCTGCAGGACGGCGTGTCCCAGACCATCGAGCAGCTGGCCAAAGCGGATATCAAGATCTGGGTGCTGACAGGAGATAAGCAAGGTACTTCAACCACACAGCTGATACTAATCTGCCTTTTCTGAAACTCATCCATTCCTTTTTCTAGCACTGATACACCTGCTTTAACATGTAGATTCAAAATGTTGAAGTCGGTAATTCATTTATTCAAAAACTATTAATATACTATATAACTATATAAATAAATGAATGACTGGCTCTAAATGTAGGTATTGTGATATAAACTGAGTCTGTTCTACAGTTTCTCATTAGGCTGAATGAATAACCGACTCTAAATGTAGGTATTGTGATATAAACTGAGTCTGTTCTACAGTTTCTTATTAGGCTGAATGAATAACCGACTCTAAATGTAGGTATTGTGATATAAACTGAGTCTGTTCTACAGTTTCTCATTAGGGTGAATGAATAACCGACTCTAAATGTAGGTATTGTGATATAAACTGAGTCTGTTCTACAGTTTCTCATTAGGGTGAATGAATAACCGACTCTTTTTTCTTGCTTTTTTAGAGACGGCTGAGAACATCGGCTACTCCTGTAATCTGCTGAGGGAGGAGATGACAGACATTTTTATTGTTGCTGCTCACTCGACTGAGGATGTCCGGCAGGAGCTGAGGTAACAAACCTGAACTCAGAAAGACTTACCCTTTAAAAGTTTGGTGACACCTTGGAAAAAAATGGAAGGTGTTAAAAATAAATAGGTGCTAGTTGATGTCAGGCATCCACACCTTGCTTCAGAGAGGCACTGCTTTGCACTGAAGCTAAAAGAACAGACACACTGTGTGGCCAAAAGTATGTGGACACCTGACCATCACACATATGTTGAGCTTGTTGGACATTCCATTCCAAAACCATGGGCATTAATGTGGGGTTGACCCGTTTTGTAGCTACAACAGCCTCAAATCTTCTGGGAAGGCTTTCCACTAGATTTTGGAGTGTGTCTGCGTGTCCAGATGCAACAGAGGACAGGCGATTTTACTTGATAGGTACTTCAGCTCTCAACGGTCTACCGCTCTGTGGCTGAGCTGTTGTTGCTTTTAGGTGCTTTAATTCAAAGTAATAGCACTTACAGTTGACAGGGGCAGATCTAGCAGGACAGACATTTTACAAATTGACTTGTGGCAGAGGCAGCATCCTATGACAGCTCATCAGTACGACCCATTCTACTGCCAGGTTGCATGGCTGTGTACTTGATTTTATACACTCGTTAGCAGTGAGAAGCAGAAAAAAGCTAAACCAACTTCTAAGACTGAACTTTGGAGGTGTGTCTGCAGATTTCTTTGAGAAACTGAAAGCAATAAAGGTAAAGAGTGACACACTGAACACTCAGACATCTGAGATTAGATTTAGTTGTTGAGGCTTCTGTGTAATTTTTCTGTTAAATATGGTTTGTACTTTTTTCCTGTTGCTGAAAAATGAATAACTTGAGTAAAGCAGAATAACTTATTGGCTGTTTTGACTAGAAAGTAAATGAAGGGTGGTCTTATTCTTATCTGAGTACCACCTGTTAGAATATATACTGTACATTTCAGTTCGTTTGTGCTTTCAGTGGTTTACACTATTAATACATCACTGCCACCTACTGGATATATGTTGAACTGCAATAACAAACATACTTAAAAGAGTCAGGTAAAACATAAAAATAATTGTTTTTAAGTATGATTTGAGAATGAAATGATGAACGAGTAATGTAAATGTAGCACTGTGTCCCACCATCCGGGATCAGAACTGTCCGTCTGGGTGCAGCATGTCTGTGTCTGTAGTGTTACAGATCAGTGTCACTCTTTAAGTAGGTCACTGTTTTATACTCTGTTACTGTGTTTATAAACCGTGTTCACTGATTCGTCTGCCATTCACTGTGTTTATGTTTACGTTCATTTTGTTTATTTGCTGATTTTCCTCAGAGACGCTCGAGCGAAGATGCGTCCGAATGCAGGAGAGGACGCCTTCTTCATCCCGGAGAGCATTCTGGGTAACGACCCGAAGGTGGTGCAGGACGAGACAGTGAGCGGAGAGTTCGGACTGGTCATCAATGGACACAGCCTGGTGAGACAGTCAGAGGAAACACAGTCCAGTGCATTTAGGCTGAATCACAGTATTGTTGGAATGTAATCACACGATTCATTATTATTTATTTATTAATATACTGTATTATTTATGTACTACAGTATATTAATATTCTGTATGAAATCCGTTTCTGCACTGCTAATATTAAAATATGACAAACACAGTTTTTCTTTCTGCACAACACGACTGACCACTCACTGACTTTACATCATTCAAACCACAATAAAACATCTGCTTACAAACTACTTACAAACACACACGTGGAATATATCTGTCTGTCTGTCTGTCTACCTATCTGTCTGTCAGTCTTCCTGCCCGTCTGTCTGTCTGTCTACCTACCTATCTGTCTGTCTATCTGTCTACATATTTATATGTCTGTGTCTACATATTTATCTGTCTGTCTCTATCTGTCTATCTGTCTGTCTGTCTTTCTATCTGTCAGTTTGTCTGTCTCTTCATCTACCTGTCTGTCTACCTGTATGTCTAGCTGTCTATCTGTCTATCTAGCTGTCTGTTTGTCTATCTATATTTCTGTATATCTGTCTGTCTGTCTTGCTTTCTGTCTACCTGTCTATCTATCTGTTTGTAGGTTTGCATGTCCATCTGTCTGTCTGTCTACCTGTCTGTCTCTATCTGTCTGTCTATCTATTTTTCTGTCTGTCTGTCTACATGTCTATCTGTCTGCCTTTCTATCTATCTGCCAGTTTGTCTGCCTGTCTGTCTATCTAAATATCTAGCTGTCTGTCTGTCTATCTAGCTGTCTGTTTGTCTATCTATATTTCTGTCTAACTGTATGCTAGCTGTCTGTCTACTTATCTATCTATCTATCTATCTATCTATCTATCTATCTATCTGTCTGTCTGTCTGTATATCTGTATGTCTATCTATCTGTATGTCTAGCTGTCTATTACTTTCTGTCTACCTATCTATCTATCTATCTATCTATCTATGGGTATTATCTGTGTAATTCCAGGTGTGCGCTCTGGAGAGCAGTATGGAGGTAGTACTTTTGTGTATCTGTCTGTCTGTCTGTCTGTCTGTCTTTCTGTTCATCTGTGTATGTGTGTAATTCCAGGCGTATGCTCTGGAGAGCAGTATGGAGCTGGAGTTCCTGCGGACGGCGTGTATGTGTAAGACGGTGATCTGCTGCAGGGTCACTCCACTGCAGAAGGCTCAGGTGGTGGAGCTGGTGAAGAAGTACAAACAAGCGGTCACTCTGGCTATCGGAGACGGAGCCAACGACGTCAGCATGATTAAAGGTCAGCACATCCATTACTGAAGGACTGATTGTACGACACATGAGCAAATCTAGAATAATCTGTGTTCAATTAAAACAGTTCAGAGTTTGGTGAAAAATCTCATTTTTAAAATGTACGTCACAGAGCACCCCTCTCCACATCACCCCTCTCCACATCACTCCTCTCCAAATCACCCCTCTCCACATCACTCCTCTCCAAATCACCCCTCTCCACATCACCCCTCTCCAAAACAGCTCTCTCCACATCACTCCTCTCCAAATCACCCCTCTCCACATCACCCCTCTCCAAAACAGCTCTCTCCACATCACTCCTCTCCAAATCACCCCTCTCCACATCACTCCTCTCCAAATCACCCCTCTCCACATCACTCCTCTCCACATCACCCCTCTCCACATCACCCCTCTCCACATCACCCCTCTCCACATCACTCCTCTCCACATCACCCCTCTCCACATCACCCCTCTCCAAATCACCCCTCTCCACATCACTCCTCTCCAAATCACCCCTCTCCACATCACCCCTCTCCAAATCACCCCTCTCCACATCACTCCTCTCCAAATCACCCCTCTCCACATCACCCCTCTCCAAATCACCCCTCTCCACATCACTCCTCTCCACATCACCCCTCTCCAAATCACCCCTCTCCACATCACCCCTCTCCACATCACTCCTCTCCACATCACCCCTCTCCACATCACTCCTCTCCACATCACCCCTCTCCAAATCACCCCTCTCCACATCACTCCTCTCCAAATCACCCCTCTCCACATCACTCCTCTCCAAATCACCCCTTTCCACATCACCCCTCTCCAAAACAGCTCTCTCCACATCACTCCTCTCCACATCACCCCTCTCCAAATCTCCCCCCTCCAAATCTGAGTTTAATCCATGTTTATTGATAACAGTGCATTATACAGTGTCAGAAACCATATATTAATTTCTATTAGAGATACTGAACACCTCCACACAGTTTGAGGCCAGTGTGATGATTTCCTCATGCAGTTAGCACCAGGCTAATTAGAGGAGTAAAGTCCTCGTAGCTTAGTGCTAAAACTAAAGGAGCACTTCAGAGACCAAACACAGGACTTAGTAAACCTCTCATAAATCCAGGGCCAGTTTGTACAGTACAGCTCACAATGCTAACGTTACCTTTTCCATCTCTCTGTCTGTAGCGGCTCATATCGGCGTGGGTATCAGTGGTCAGGAAGGCATGCAGGCCGTTCTGTCCAGCGATTTCTCCTTCGCTCAGTTCCGCTTCCTGCAGCGCCTCCTGCTGGTGCACGGCCGCTGGTCCTACGTGCGCATGTGCAAGTTCCTGCGTTACTTCTTCTACAAAAACTTCACCTTCACCTTCGTCCACTTCTGGTACGCCTTCTTCTGCGGCTTCTCCGCCCAGGTGAGGAAACGTCCACTAACGTCCTTTCTCCAAACATCCTGACCAGAGCATTAACGCCAGATACAGTAGATCAGCCAAGACATGTTTGGTGCCTGAAGTTTAATTCTTTGGTTCTAGCACTGGAGCTGCAAAGCTAATGTAGCTATCAAGTAATGGAAGCTTATACCACATCAATTAGCATAGTGCTAACTGCATGTCTACATCATCACACACTCGTCTCAAACTGTGTGGAGGTGTTCAGGATAAACACTGGACTGCAAATAGGGTCATTTTCATCTTTTAATACATTTTCTCTCAAATGTATATTAATGTGATTATGTTGTTCATTTTCTGCAGACGGTTTATGATGAAGGCTTCATTGCTCTCTACAATTTGGTGTACACGTCCCTCCCAGTCTTGGGCATGGCCCTGTTTGACCAGGTACACTGAACGGTCCTCTCCCTTTTATATAGGATGTAAAATAACTGGCTTATTTGCTAAATGCACTAAATGCATCTTTTTCCCTTCAACCCATTTACTTTCTAAATACCTTAGCTTAACATAATACTACATAGCAAAAAACGATTTTTAACCTAAAAAGATGGAAACTAAGTAGTTCAGAGTGGTTTGATGTGAAATGGTTGATTGTAGAGACTCCAATTTCTTTACAGTGGTGGTGATAGGAACCAGGCGTCACCACATATATGTATACCACCAGTGAACCTACACTTGTCTTCTGTGTTTTTATATGGAATATTAATGATGGTAAAAATAGTGGATAATTTGAAAAATCAAGTTTTCTTTGGGGACTATTTTGCCTCACAACACCCTGCATGTATCCCTCCACCATAAATAGATTGGAATTTTAGGCCAAGACTTTGCAAAACTATCGTAAAACAATGTGTCAGTCATCAATCATCAGTCATCATGCAGTGAATTCATAACCATTTCATGTAGTAACTTTCTGTGAGGAGCTTTTAGAGGTGGACGTCTGGTTCCTATCACCACCACTGTGAACAGTTCTGACTCTGTAAGTTTCTCTAGAGCAGAGCGTTTCACACCAAACCACTCTGAACGACTCTGTTTACATCTTAACCATTTAATTCTGAAAAATTGGTGGACTTCCCCTTTGAACTGAGCTGAACTGAAGGGAGCTGATGCTCTCTCTGTGTGTCTGTGTTCAGGATGTTAATGACGGCTGGAGTCTGGAGTTTCCTCAGCTGTATGTTCCGGGTCAGCTGAGTCTGTACTTCAGTAAGACGGCGTTTATGAAGTGCGCACTGCACAGCTGCTACAGCTCACTGGTGCTGTTCTTCGTTCCCTACGCCACCGTGTACGACTCCATGCGCAGCGACGGAAAGGAAGGAGCCGACTACCAATCATTCGCCCTGCTCACTCAGACCTGCCTCACCTTCACTGTGTGCCTCCAGGTGTGTAGAACCAGAGCTACTGATTATTTCTGTATGAAACAGTAGAAGCCATATCGCCCCCTACACTTCCTGTAGTGTATTACAGTCTGTCAGAGTGACTGTGTGGATCATATGAACATTATAGAGGCTTTTTAAATGAAACAGTAGAAGCCATATCGCCCCCTACACTTCCTGTAGTGTATTACAGTCTGTCAGAATGACTGTGTGGATCATATGAACATTATAGAGGCTTTTTAAATGGAACAGTAGAAGCCATATCGCCCCCTACACTTCCGGTAGTGTATTACAGTCTGTCAGAATGACTGTGTGGATCATATGAACATTATAGAGGCTTTTTAAATGGAACAGTAGAAGCCATATCGCCCCCTACACTTCCTGTAGTGTATTACAGTCTGTCAGAATGACTGTGCTGCTTCGTCAGTCGTTTTTAATTCTCTCTTCTCTCTCCTCTGCAGCTGAGCTTGGACCTGTCCTACTGGACAGCAGTTAATCATCTGTTTGTTTGGGGCAGTTTGGGGATGTATTTTATTGTGACGTTCACCATGCAGAGTGACGGACTGTACCAGCTTCACCCACCATCCTTCCGTTTCATAGGTGAGTGCCAACAGCTTACACCAAAGTTTCATAGCACAAAACAGTGCACTATATAGTGAATAGGACATCATTTCAGTTATATGGCACTATATAGTGGTGAAAAGGGCATAATTTCTGTTAAGAAGCTTGATAGGAAATGGAAGTGTTTTTTGTTATACAATACTACTGGACTGCTTGACGTCTCTGGAAAGAAATTGAAAAATCACTTAATCTAGCCAGTTTAATGAAAATAATGCACTGAATTCGTTGAAAGAAATATTGTACGTCTTTACTGTGTGAGCACAGACAGTAACTGTATGTGTTTGTGTTTGTGCTGACAGGTACATCTCGTAACTCTCTGGATCAGTTCAACGTTTGGCTGACGGTTTTCCTGACGGCCGTACTGTGTGTTCTACCAGTGCTGGTTCATCGAATCATCTTCATCCAGCTTAAACCCACCATCAACGACAAGGTACACAGACAGAGTTCATCCTTCTACACCACTGTACATTCTAACTAACCAACTCCCCTCTACCACAGTCCAGTTTAGACTTGCAGTCCTTTCTGGTGTCCATCTTAAGTTTTCTATCTTTTGGTCCATCATTCTAATTAACTTACAATTGCAATATTTATCATTTATTTCTGTTTCTTATTGAAATATTGAATAAAACATCTAAAAATATCTTTTGGTGTATTGTGTGTAATAATAACCAGTAATAGCAATGCATAATGTTTGGGTGTTATATATAACAGAAAAATAATAATGTGGCCTTATTATTATAATCATTATGAATGGATAATAACTCCACTGTCCTGTTCTTGATGCAGGTGAGATTTAAGGTCCATCAGAAGAAAGACCAGCGTCCTTCTCCTCAGCGCCGGACCAAAATCCGTCGCTCCAGCACCCGTCGCTCCGGCTACGCCTTCTCTCACGCACAGGGCTACGGTGACCTCGTGACCTCCAAATGGTTTCTCCGACGATCTGCAGCCCCCCGTTCCACAGGCTTCACCCCGAAGGGCCGCTCGCCTGGATTCAAACCCACAGGACGATCGGCCGGTTACAGTCCATCCAGCAAAGAGCAGAACAACAAACAGGAGGTGGAACCCACAGAACTGCAGCAATACCGCACTGTCCAAGACTCCACCTTCTGATAGGTGGGGTCAGCGCTGTATGCAGAGGGGACAGAGACATAAGGAGGAGGGGCAGGTTTCAGGAGGGGTGCTGTTCTGGCTGTTGATGCTTGGACCCCTATAATTGCTTAAACGAATGAACACATGAAATTCTAACCATAAAAACTTTCACTAACATGCTACTCTGACCTCTCTGGGAGTGACAATTTCTGACCTTTCAGTTCTTTAGGAAATGATAACTACTTACGCAACACACCAAGATTTGGAAATACGCCAAAAAGTAACCACATACATGGTTGAATATTACTATTATTAGAACCTTTTTTTTTAGGAGTTGATGTATTTTGACACCACTTTTTGTGAATGATGAAAGTGTTAGCAACGCATGGTTAGCTCCCTCACACTCGTCATCATTTTTGACTCAGCAAAAAATAGGTATAAATCTTAAATTGAATTATTTATGTGAGAATAATTAATTGACTAACTTACTGAAAGGCTATAATTTCCTGTGTTTGACTCTTCACCACTATGGTGCACAGCAGCACCCTCAGCACCCCTCCTCCAGCACCTCTGTTCAAGAACCAACATTACTGATTTTCAAAACGAGGTGTTTACATGGTTCTGCGCTGAACTGCTGTTGATAATGAACGTTACGCTAACGGGCTTTTATACACACACTAAGGAGAAACCAACACGTTTCCTAGCAATATGAAAAAAATGGAGAGACTGTTTAGCTCTACACGCCACGACACACAAGAACTATGCAAACTAGAAAGCTTATATCTTTACTACTTTTACACAAATGCCCACTTAATGTACCCACTTAATGGAACAGGCAAGCTTCCGAAAATTCAGTTATTCAGAAATTGGGATTAGCATCTTTTAATTTATCATCAGGGCCGGCTCTAGCCTTTTGGGGGGCCCTAAGCAGGATGTTTTGAGGGGGTCTTTACTAGCTGATTAGGTAGAGCCGGCACTGATTATCATATCCTTTTTATAGTGCTGAAACTATGTGACACCAAAGACTGGAGAAATCTTTTTAATTTTTTTTTTCACAAAACAAGAACATGTACTTTGAAATGACTTCACGTTCTACACTCCTACCAACCAGCGCATTATTGTATGACCAGAAAGTGCCTTGAAGTTCATCCTGTTTATGCAGAGATGATTATTTTTATCATTCAGCCATTAAAAATATGGCGGTTGGAACCAGAGATGGCGACTCAAGTCATTTCTTGACTGATTTGCAACTCAACTCAAACTCTTGACTAAAGACGAGCAAATTTGTAACCTGAGGAAGAAAACATGAGCAAAAAAATTACCAACATTAATGCAGAAAATAAAAGTAAAACATTTAGTCATTACTGAAAGCTGCTCTGCAGCTCTCAGCAGTGTCAGGTTTGATTTGACTTCAAACAATGAGCCAAACCTTCAGTCCACTGAAGAGAACGGAAACAAAATTAGATGACTGGCTAGCACGTTGTTTGGTTAGTGAGCTTACTGACTTTCACGATAGCCAATTTAGCTAAAGTTTTGTCTGAATTCGGTTTTACGGGATTATTTTTACACAGCGGCCTGTAACGCATAAAGATTTGTAATTTTGTCTAAAAATTCTTTGTGTTTTTATATTCAAACTGCCACTCTGAGATCATTTGCTGTAAAGCATCTGATGGTGGATTAAAGAGGAATCGAGTAAGATTTCATGTATGTGTGTATGGATGTATGTATGAGTGAATGTATGTGTGAGTATGAACTTGTTGTACGGCTGGAATCTCTACTGTTTTATGACAATCTTCTTATTTATGGTGACCTGTACTGTAAGACTTAAAGGTTTGTTCGTTATCAAAGCTGAATGTAAGTGATGTAAAGATTAATATTCACTCATCTCCTACATATAAGTTATGCATGCTGACTTAATACTATTCATTTTTTTATCATTTTTCAATTTATTACCTTTCATATGAGCTCATATTTTTATTTTTTAAATATGGGAAACAAAACTTTGGTGGACAAATGGCAAAATGGCATTTCCATGTTCAAACTGTTTCACAAAATGTTTTTATGCAAAGATTTGTATAAATAAAATACTTTTCTACTGTTTTACCTTGGCTGTTTTACCGCTTGTCAGTATGTTTCTGAATTTGGTATAATTACACAAGAATACAGAAATAATGTAACATATATATATATATATATATATATATATACATATCTATATGTATGTATATATATTTAGCGTGTCCAATTAGCTTAACTGCATGTTTTTGGACTGTGGGAGGAAACCCACACAGACACGGGGAGAACATGCAGACTCCACACAGAAACGACCCTGGTTGCCCAGCCAGGAATCGGACCCAGGCCATTCTCGCTGTGAGGCAACAGCGCTACCCTCTGCATTTTATCAGCCCCACTGACCATATAGTTTCACTCTGTAGTTCTACAGTTACAAACTGTAGTCCATCTGTTTCTCTGCATACTTTATTACCCTGTTCTTCAATGGTCAGGACCCCCATGGACCCCCACAGAGCAGGTACTATTTGGGTGGTGGGTCATTCTCAGCACTGCAGTGGCACTTAAGTGGTGGTGGCTGTAGATCTAGATCGTTAAATTACTATTTTTTGTTCCGTTTTGGGTATTTCTGGGTTCCTGGAAAAAATAAGACAGACTTTACAGGGGCAGTCGTGGCCTGGAGGTTAGGGAAGCAGCCTTGTGACCGGAAGGTCGCTGGTTCGATCCCCTCGGCCGACAGTATGTGACTGACCTAACCCCCAATTGCTCCCCGTGAATAGGGCTGCCCACCGGTCCGGGCAAGTGTGCTCCCTGCCCTCCACTGTGTGTGTTCACTAGTATGCATGTATGTGGGTGTTTCACTGCACGGACGGGTTAAATGTGGAGGTCTAATTCCTCTGTGTGCAAAACACAGTTGGCTGATGATTCTGAATTCTAATTCTCACTTCATGGCTGCTGCTAATGTTTTTAGCTATGCTAATGCACCTTACTTAGTTAGTGCCTTGCTAATATGTGTACATAGGCTTCCATTACTTGTTAGCTACATGAGCCTCATGGGTCCAGTGTAAAACTAAAGAAGTGGACATGTCAATGTCAGTTCAGGATTCAGAAACAGTAAATCTGTTTAAATCTGTTTATTTCAGTGTGCAGGTACAGTGAGCTAACATTAGCTCTCCCAGTCCTACTCCTGGATTACCCTGCTTTAGTGCTCTCACCACTACGACAACCATGGACGCACAGGGCCTTATGTTTATCTGAAAGAGCTGAGGTTTGCCCTTATTATTGGACTGAAGAAAACCTGAAATGAATGGAAGTGAATGGAGAGCGTCTCTCAGATGGTCCTCTCATACCTGAGAATCCCACTTCTGGTGGCACCCACTGGAAGGCAAAGGCTGTGTTCAAAATGGCATACTGCAATACTACATACTGCATACTGCACTACTATATCTCTGTTGTCGGAACAAAACCTCGTATCTCCAAAATGGTAACTTTACAGGAGGAGGAAAAAACATGCTTTACTTTTAATGTAAGTCAGTGGAACCAGAATTTTGTCCAAGTCATTTTGGGCCATTTCTTTTGGTCCATTGATGATGAAATTTACACATGATGTAAAGAGTAACAGGTACTTTTAAATCATGTCAAAAATGAAAATACAAGGTTTCATTCCAACAGCGATGTACTGTCCACTGCATGCTACTCTTCATAGTAGTACACTGTACAGTATACAGTGCATGACAAAAGCTATGGGCCAAACTAAAGGGAAGCCTGTCAATGGCAGGCATTGAGCCATGTCAAGACCTGCCCCATTTTCTTTAGCCCTCCAATCACTGCTTGGCAACCATTGCTGGACACTTTTCAGCTCTTTTCTGGTGGATATAGTTTTGGTCAAGATTTTTATATTATTTATGCAGCCGTGAAAGACTGAATGCCTTGCTAATAAATGGTTCAGAGTGAACCAAGTGGTTATGTCAGTGACTACATCCTCCCAAAACGGTCGCTCTGCATTTTGGTACACAGTATATCACGGCGATAGCTCTGGCTACGTTTTGGAATATTTGTCCGGAGCAGTACGTCATCCGGGTATCTTTGGTGTACTGGAGAATGTCATGGTGGTCATACTCTTGGGCACAAGCTGTACACGGGCAGTATATAGAACCCAGCCCAAATCTGGGGGGGGCTGACATCTATCCGCATATTCAGCCACATTTTTTACTAGTGCTTGGACCCCTGTAATCGCGCCCACTGCTCTCGCCCCGCCCCCAAGGTGGGTGGGTGTGTGCACGTGCGCATGCGTCCTCCTCCCCGATGACGTTACGACCCACACGCCCTAGGCGGCGCTGTTACAGCCGGAGAAAAAAACAACAACCCAAATCACCGAGAGGCACCATCACCCTCACTGTCACCGTTATCACCGTGTCCGTTATCCTCGCTTCCCGCCCGGCGGATGACCGCGGAGTGTCCGGAGAGGAGCCCCGAGCCCGGAGAGCAGCAGCGCGGTGAGTGTGAGAGCGCAGCCCCGTGGGGCGCCACGCTCTGGGCGTGTGGAGGCACAAAGCGCCGCGCATCAGCATCACTGCGGACCGAGCCGAGCCGGGCCGTGGGCTGTGATTTAGTGTTGGCACCCCCGCTGTGTGGACGCTATCAGTGTTTTATGATTGAAAACGCCGTTTAAAGGCGTCACTGGGTCTGCACGGTGTCTCAGCAGCGCTGTTTAGATGCGGAGCTGATGCTGCACGGCGCCTGCGCTGAATAACGTTTTATAACCAGCGGGCCTCGTCTCAATCCGGCGGAGCGCCTTCATTTTCCCGCTTTGTCACACAGAAATCTGGGCTGTATTTGTGTCACAGAAACACAGAAAGCCGTGTTCGGACAGTGCGTGTCAGAAACTGGGATTTATTCGCTCTATAAAGCCCGTACAGCCCGTGGCTCGGTCCCGAATATCCCCGTGCTCCCTGTCTAGTGCGCTACGTAGGTCGCATAACGGGATCTGCAAGCTAACGGTGCCCTGTGCTTTGATTTGTTGTGCGTCTTGTGCTTAAATGCGCTGCTTTTGTGGATCTCCAGCTCCTCTTTTGCTGTGTGGTGATGCTGCATGTTGTTATGAGGGGCGTCCACTCACCCACCGACTGACTGACAGGGTGGGTAAGGTTAATAATGCTGTACTGCAGCGCCGTTTGCGCACAGGAGCTCCGTGAATGCGCGCAGGATGCGCACACTTCCAGCTTCATCCGCAGCAAGGGCAGGAACAGGCCCACTGCTGGACAATAGGACAGATATCAACTGTTAAAAAAGATGGTACATCTGTATAGCACCAAGCTTGACAACGGCTTGTAATTCCCTTTGCTGAAGAACTCTTGAAGAACCGCCTTCCGTAAGCATGTAAGTAGAGGTCAGGGCTGTAAAGTGGTGGTCTTAGGTGGGAGGAGATGCCAGTGGACGCAACAGTGAAATGTAAACACAGCCCACTGTGTGCAGTAGATGCAGCAGAAATGCAGCCCTCAGTGAGATGCAGTAGATGCACTTCAGACTAGAGCTGAGCGTGAATGAAAAAAATGTAATGTCACAACACTTTAAGATGTTTTTAGGATACATGACTCGTCATTATATTTAGTTTTTCTGATATTTGAGGAGTTGGAACAGACAGAATAGCACCACATTTAAAAATGCCATCAAAAACTATGAATACAGTTATTTATATTCAACATTTTGCACAATGAGCTGAACCAAATCCAGTTAAACAGACTAATTGTGCTGTTCTTGCAGTTGGACGTGTTTTAAGTACTGACAGTATGCAGAGTATACTCAGGAAAGTACACTGTGATATATTGTGCAGTCACAATAACAGTAAATATGATCATAACTGTCCAGTCCCACTGTAAATACAGCAGCATTGTACAGTAGCATAGATATAACTGTGAAACGTAAAAGCAATGCAGCACACTCTTAAAAAAGATGGTTCTACAAGGGGGGGTTCCTTAGTAAAGAAAAAGGTTCTATAAGGAACCATGAACACTCGAAGACCCCTTTGCATGATTAAAGGGCTCTTTGCATGGTGAAATGGTTCTTCAGATTGGTGGACAATGTGCTGTAGATGGTTCTATATGGAATCTTTTTGAAAAGGGTTCTATGTAGCACCCAACATGGTTCTTCTGTTGTTATAAGCTTGACATCGCAACAATAGAAGAACCATTTTGGGCGCTATAAAGAACTCTTTTCAAAAAGGTTCTCTACAGAACCTGCTACAACATATTCTGAATAACTTTTCATGATGCAGTGAACCCTTTATCATGCAAAGGGTTCTTTGAGTGTTCCTGGTTCTTTATAGAACCTTTGTCTTTATTAAAGACCCCTTGAAGAACCATCTCTATAAGAGTGAATAGACGCAGTGTCAGTTCAAGTAGCTGCAATATTTAAATACAGCTGTAATTCAGCAGATACAGTAAATGCGATTTAAAGGCATCACTCTAGATGTAATGCATGCAGTTTGAATGCAATACAACTTAAATACAGTCTTATAGTAACAGATGTACAGTAATCGGACCACCTTAAAGAGCCCGTATCATGTTAAACCAGAACGTCCTTACTTTTTTAAATAAATAGGTTGTTAAAGTTTCACTCCCCAGTACCCAGAGTCCATATGTGGAAACTAAGCCTGTTTTGAATTCATTGTTTTTGTGATGTCACAAAACTGATGCATTTGCGTATCTTATGCATTCAGCCTACAGCAGTTTAGCTCCACCCGTTCACACTGAAACTATAACAGATTGCTTTTTGAATGAGGCTCAATACAGGACAGCCAGTCAAAACAGAGCTCATTTACATATATATATCAGTCTTAAAGGCTTATAGTAACAAAATGAGGTAACAATCAAAAATGTTGTTCCTGGACCTAAAATAAAACCCCAGAAAAGTGTAGGATATGAGCCCTTTAACATGCACGGCTGGGCCTTCTGGTCCGCACTCGTTTCTCTGCCTGTTGACACAGAGTTAGTCGTTCTTTGAGATGCACTTTGTTGTCCACTTCTATTGTATCCTGATAAACTTCACTTGGTCTGTATGCACAGTCACTCTGCCCACTGGGCAGCTCCAC